AAAAAATTTTGTCCAATGTGTTGAAAGACCAACTGCTCAGATCCACAAAATTACGGTTCAGAAGATATGTAAAGAGAGGCTCAGAAACAGTTTCACAGGCAGGCCAGAGCAACAAAGCAAAGTGGAGGAGGAAGAGGAGGGGAAAAGCCTCCGCCCTCGACAAGAGCAAGTGGTGGAGCACACCATGTCCTTATCAGGACATGATTTAAAACACCAAAAAAAAAAAAGCTGCCAGCAAGCACAAGACACATTACATATGCATTTGACAGCAAGACGGTGAGATTTGTCCATGAAACACTTCCAGATAGTCCATAGTCCTCTTAAGATGTTGGTGTCAGTCGGTACAGCTCTGATAAGCATTCACAGAAGTTCTCAGGGAGGAGGGGGGTTATGATATACAGAACTTTCTTAGTTTACACATATCCCAGGATAAATTTGATAAGTCGTCCTGCTTCGAGGCCAAACGAGGGAGTCAGATTCAGATAAGCCACAGTTGTTCATTTTTTTCAGGCAGACAGCTATTTCTTGTCAGCCTTGAGTTCTGATGGTACTTTAAATCCAAAAAGGCCAGATTTGTGGACATTCCACTGGTCCGTGCTTATTAGCTCCCTCCAAGGTCGTCCGCAACATGATGAGAGACACATAAGCTGCAAGTGGCCTGCGATTCTCACAAATCGCTTCCGTCTTGTGGTTTAGCTTGTAAATCAGTTGATTTTGAGTGCTCGAAGCACGAACCAAACCTGCAGACAAGTTCAGCAGATTTGCCATGGTCTAAACTTCTGCCACCATCTTCTTTAATAGCCGATAACATGGGAATCCACCAATGCCAAAAAAGCAGAAACCCTGCTATCATGGTTCCAAGTATATAAACATCTTCGGCATCCTCCTGAGACAATATGGAAAGACACATCAGCTCCCAAACTCCCCACTGATCCATGACGTATCCTGCCACGTGTGTCTTAGCGGGGCATGAGGGTTCTCCAGGACCCTGTTGCTTTGTTGAAAAGATTTTATAGATTTTGTTGAAAGTCCAGCTGACCAGATCCATGACAGTAGTTTATGTTTCAGAAGATGTGTAAATAGGAGCTCCGATACACAAGAGAGAGAGAGCAAAAAAGCAGAAGGAGGACGGGAGAGGGAAGAAAGGCGTCCGTCTTGCACGAGAGCAAGTGTGGGGGGGAATATATATATGTATTTAATTTAATGATGTAATAAATAATTAAATGATACATTTAATTATTTAATGGGGCATTCATTTATTTCATGGAACTTTTTTAATTTAATTGAACATTTACATAAATTTATTTCATGATGCATTTATTTATTTATTTAATTTTGTCACATTCCACCCTCCATACAAAACAGACTGGACCACAAGCGTTTATCCCCAGTTCTTAAAACATGTCATGGTCATACAATAAGTGGACAGTAACTTAACTTCTCGTTCCTCTTCTTTGTTTTTATCGGCAGCTTGCATCCATCAATGTTGCACTACTGCCATAAAGGAACTTAACATGAGGTCTTTTAGTGTTAGTATTACAGTAGTACCTCGCTACTTCGCGGTTCAACTTTTGCAGACTCACTGTCGAGGTTTTCAATGTAAGATTGTCTACACGACACACAATTGGCTGATGGATGGAAGGTGATCAACCAGAGCATTGTGCTCTGTATCCCGGGCGCTGATTGGCTCAGCATCAGTCTGTCTGGACTCTTTCGCTGTGCTCTTTTCTGCGTCCGAGAACGAAGATACTGCACCACCTGAAGAAGCACCTTGATGAAGTGGTGCCTTTAGAAACCTTAAAATATATATAAATACTAAAATAAATATAATGTCCCTACTTTGCGGATTTTCACCTATTGCGGGGTGTCTGGAAGGTAACCCCCGTAATAAGCGAGGGAACAAAGTATTTAATTATAGAAACTAAAACAACAGAAAGACGAGTCTCACAGAGACACGAACAGTCTCACACACACACACACAAAGTTGGACATGTTGGTACGATGACGACACTCCGAACACTTTAACATTTGATACAAAGTTAGACTTTAGATACAAACATCACAGGATGTCTCACGTCATCGTCCTGGGGCCACAATGTAGGAGGTCTCTCACCCTGAGTGGGATCAGAGGCGGTTGTGCGTGAATGCGTGGTTCGTTTGCAGTGTCAAGTCAAGTCAAGTCAAGTCAGATTTATTTATAGAGCACATTTAAAACAGAAACTGTTACCAAAGTGTTAACAAAAAAAAAACAATGAGAGTAATTAAATGGGAAAAATTAAAATAATGATAATACTAAAATTAATTGAAAACATCAAAGGGTAACATATAAACACAGAACAAAAAATACTAAATCAAATCACACTGTGTGACATGCCAGAGAAAACAGATGTGTTTTTAGCAGATTTAAAAACAGGAAGGTCTAATGCCTGATGTTGGGGGCAGATTGTTCTAAAGTTTGGGACCCATGACAGAAAAAACCTGATCTCTGAGCTTCAATCTTGTTTTTGGAACAGACCAGTTTCAGATAAATAAGGGGGCAAGACCATTTATGCACTTAAAGGTTAGCAGGAGAATTTTTAAATCGACTCTGGTAAACACAGGGAGCCAGTGAAGGGAGGACAGAACTGGTGTAATATGCTCAAACCTACAAGTTCCAGTTAAGAGGCAAGTTGCAGTAGTTTGGACGAGCTGGAGACGTGAAAGGGACACCTGACTGACCCCAACATAGTGCACGTTACAGAAGTCCAGTCGGGTCGTGATAAAGACATGGACTAGTTTTTCAAGGTCAGATCTGGACAACACTGACTTAAGCTTAGCTTTCTGTCTTAACTAGAAGAAACTTTTCTGCAGAACAGAGTTGATCTGTTTCTTAAACTTAAAGTCAGAGTCTAAAACCATCTCGAGATGTTTAACAGACTGCTTAAGAAGAGAGTCAAGATTTACAGGATCAGAGACAGCTGGAGAGCTAGGGCTAAACACAATGACTTCAGTCTTCTGATCTTTAAAACTTACATAATTTGAAGCCATCCTGGTCTTGACGTCATCAAGACATTTTAACGAATGGAGCAAGAACGATTTGGTTTTAAGGGCAGATAAATCTGACAATCATCAGCATAACAATGAAATGAAAGACCATGTTTTCTCAGGATATGCCTCAAAGGGAGCAGATAGAGTAAAAACAGAAGGGGTCCAAGAATCGAGCCCTGCAGTACACTGCAGGAAAGAGGCCCTGAATGCACCACCTGGTTAACTTTGAATGGGTATCTGTTTTTAAACAGTTACATCAAATCAGCAGCTGTATGAATGTTTAAATGACAGCTCTGGTGTTTTCAAAAGTGATTGTTCATTTTGTTAATCTTTCTGTGACATTGTTGTTCTTTGGCTGCTCCTTTCTGCAGGAACTGCCACAGCAAGCAAAGTTGAAAGATTCGTCAGTTGTTTTAAGCTGGAAGCACTTCCTGATGAAATCTGTGCTCAGACCTGAAACTGACCATCGAGCGGCTGCAGCCTTATTTCTGTCATCGCTGGATTACCCACCCAATTTAAAAAAGATGCACTTGAACAGAACTACAGCTGAGGCTTCTTTTAGGAGGATAAAAATACATTATATGGCCAAAGTACAGTATTTAGACATACCAGATGGTGGTTGATTTCATATCTTTCAGTCAGGGTTTAGACCCGGCCCATTATCTCCAGCGGTGGATACTCTAAGCTTCAGCATGCCTAAACATTTTGGACAATGTTATGCTGTGGCAACACTTTAAGGATGGCCTTTTACTAATCCAACATTCCCCCAGAACAAAACGCATGGTCTATCTAGAGATGCTTTTAGTTTGATGTGGAAGAACTTGACTAGTCCGGATGTAGCCCTGACCTCAGCACCATTGAGAACCTCTGAGATGTGCTGGATTAGAGACCTTGTCCCACATCTGTGCTTACATTACAGCACAATACGAAATAAATGGGAATCTCGTGGAAAGTCTTTCAAGAGGAATCAACGCTGTAAAGATGAAATAGATAGACCAACTCCATGCAGTCCCTGTTTGTGACAGTAATTACAATTTAACAGCAGGGACATGGTGGTGGGCTGGCCTCCTCTGCATCGCACAAAGGAGATGACAGGTACTCATCAGGTATCTGATAGTCAGCACCAGGGGTACCAGAAAGTCAAGGTTCAAGGTTCTTTATTGTCGTTTGCATCACACGTGGTACATGAGGTGGAATGAAATGTTTGGGCACATCAACACGAGTCAGAAAACAAAAGCAGATTAGCACTGACAGAGATGATTTGGCTAAAATAGAATAACTTATTGTCATTGCACATCAGGTATACGATGTTATTCCTGCTCTTTCATCAACTGCCTTAGCAACTTTGATTCCTCTGCAGCTCTGCCCTCGACTCGCTGCTGGACTGTTCTTGTTTTCATGGCGTCCACACACAATCTGCACTTTCCTACTTGTGGCACCATGCAGGGGGAAATCAACAGGCTTTCCAGCTGTATTAAATATATTGCAAAGAAGAATTGTCACAACAAAGAAAAAGCAAACAAACAAAAATGTTCTTGCTTTTTGTGCTATCTTTATTTGGAATTACTAAAATGTCACGTTAATATGATGATACTGCGTGTGCATAGTGTAAAATATGTATTTCTAATATCATCACAAGACATTAGGAGCTCTCCATATGGTAAATGGACTTTACTGATAGTGTCTTTCTATTTTATCAAGCTCTTTACAACAATCTGTGCCTCATTTACCCATTCATACAGCTCTATACTAAATATACGCAAAGCTAACTAAAAAAAATCATTCTAAAGAGACTACTCAGAGCTTTATCACATTCATACACCGATGGGACATACATCAGAGGCAACGAGGGGGTCAATGTCTTGCCCAGGGACACTTCGGCATGTGACTGCTGGTGGATTCAAACCCCCAACTCTTGCATTGGAGGACGACTGCTCTAACCGCTCAGCCACAGCCGCCCCGTACATATACCTCTATATCTGACAGATGATGAGAGCGCTCAGAGAGCAGTGTTGCGTCACTCTCCAGACGCCGTTCTCAGACACCGTGGTGCATCCTGTAACCTGGATGCTCCCGTCCGGTTCTCCTTCTCCCCATTTGGTAAAGGTCAGAGGTCGATTTTTCCCATCAGACCCAAAGTTGCCCTCTGCTTTCTCATTGTTGACACTGATCCAGGCTGTTCTGATAGTTTCACCAATCAGCTGAGTCAGCACGTTGTTCTCCTCCTCACTCTGGGGCAGAGCCAGCTCCAAGCCTCGCTGGGAGCACAACTGGACGGCCTTCAAGAACGAGTCTGTCTCCTTGTTGGACACAAAGTATTTCTGACCAACCCTCCTCACAAAGTCA